TATTATGATAAATCAATTTTGTGAGGAACATCACAAATCATTCTTATCCATAATCCTTATAACAAATAAGGGATAATAGCAACTGACTATTCGTAAATCAAGCTCAGTCCATAATGTAACGTATAAATTACCAAACATCATCGGACAAAAGTGTTCACTGACGTCAACAGATATAAGCAGTATATCTCATGAAACAAAGTCAAATGCCTGATGACAGAGAGTTGAGAATCTCAAAGGAAAGAGAATGACAACTAGAACAGGGAATGATTGGTGTTGGGACGAATAAACAACCAAGTCTGATACAATTGGTTGACATTTTGCGAAAAAAGAATTTACTGTATGGTTCTCAGATTGTTCTGGGGGATTCTGTAATTCTCTATTCAAGTACATACGTTTGTCCTCACTACTGTTCTCTTTTACTACAATCTCAATCAATGATAATGAAAAAACTGTTTTTAACAAGGAATGTATGACTTCAATTGACGATATTAGTAAAAGCATAGTTAGCCTCTTTGCTTATGTTCAATATTATCTATGGTCTTGTAGTGTCGGTTACCATCACTGATTATCAGTCATATGAATGTAATGATAGAGAGTGACATTCATTATCATTTCTAAAATTGTTATCACGCCCAAAGAACTGAACCCATACAAACTCACCCGATTCAGATGCTTCAATAAACCCAACACACACTATCCACCATTATTCGAACATTCACAATTAAGCAATCAACCTAGAGTTTACAGAACAATTGAATTTGAAATAAATATTAAGGGAATTTTATTATCAAAGTGTTTTTACAGTATACTAAGTAGTCGATTCCGTCAAATCTTCAACTGAGTAAACAGATAAGATGATGCTTGGAGGTGATCAACAGGAAACTCTGAACCCGATTCGCCTGCTACTTGTCACTAATCAGCAAGGTGTACCTGTATTTTTAAGGGAACTGATGCTATTTGACGGATTCGATCTCGGAACACACAGCTTCAATAGGTACTATGCTGATTGGTGATGGTTCGAGAGAGAATGTGATGTGAGATAACAGTCTACCAGTTGTTTGTTATTTTATTTGTTGGCACTTCGTCATCTTCATTAGAGTCAACTGAACGCTAATCTTTTACAATTACACTGTACTCGAAACCATAATGTATTAGACAACAAAGGAGAATGGTTGAAGTGATCAGGAAGGTAATATTTTCCAACAAAAATAAATTATTCTTGATCTACCATATTTGTTTGAGCTAATCACAACATGCACTACATTTGCCCACTCAAATATTTTTTACACTGAGGACTGTTAAATGACGAATCAGACAGGAATATCTATTTCAATATTACATACATATTCATCACATTTAACTCCGCCTGTAGCTCTTCTAGAGTTACTGCCGGTCCCAAGCCCGGGTAAAGGAGGAGGGATGGGCATGGGGTTAGCGACCCCATCCCGTAGAAAAGCTAACTCGCTAAAAAAACTCTAACCAGAAAAAATAATAATTCAAACCATTTAAACTCTGCCCTGGCACTTGAAGGAATAATTATGACGTCTCATGATGAAAGCCGAAATTCTTCGGAAGTCACGAGACCGATGCACCTTCTAACAACCAGAGCAACACTCTTTATAGGTACATGGAACGTCCGGACAATGTGGGAGACAGGAAAGACCAACCAAATGGCAATGGAAATGAGGAGATACAACTTGGCAGTACTCGGAATCAGCGAAACCCATTGGACACAAACTGGACAACAAAGGCTAGGTACAGGAGAGATGCTGCTGTACTCCGGTCACGAAGGGGAAAATGCTCCACACACTCAGGGAGTTGCTCTAATGCTGTCCAAAGAAGCACGAAATGCACTTGTGGGATGGGAATCTCATGGACCCAGGATAATCACAGCATCATTCAGAACAAAGAAGCAAGGGGTCACAATGAACGTTATCCAATGTTATGCACTCACCAATGATAGCAACGACGATGATAAAGATCAGTTCTATGAAAGGCTTCAATCAATTATAGAGAAGTGCTCACGAAAGGACCTCACCATCCTTATGGGAGATCTAAATGCTAAAGTTGGAGTGGACAACACAGGATATGAAGATGTAATTGGACGACATGGACTAGGAGAAAGAAATGAAAATGGGGAGAGACTTGCAAACCAATGTGCTTTCAACAAATTGGTTATAGGCGGCACAACATTCCCACACAAACGCATACACAAAGCTACATGGATTTCACCGGACCACACCACAGAGAACCAGATAGATCACATCTGTATCAACAAAAAATTCCGAAGATCAATGGAAGATGTGAGAACCCGGAGAGGAGCTGACATAGCTTCAGATCACCACCTGGTTGTGGCCAAGATGAGACTGAAGCTTAAGAAACACTGGACAACTGGACAAACAGCACTACAAAGTTTCAATACAGCCCTCCTTCGAGATACTGACAAGCTCCATGAATTCAAGATAACTCTCAACAACAGGTTCCAAGCTCTACAGGATCTACTGAAAGAACAAGAAACTACTTTGGAGGACAACTGGAAAGGGATAAAAGAAGCACTAACTTCAACGTGTCAGGAGGTTCTTGGTCCTAAGAAGCATCATCACAAGGAATGGATATCTATGGGAACCCTGGACAAAATTCAAGAAAGGAAGAACAAGAAACTAGCAATTAACAACAGCCGAACACTAGCAGAGAAAATCAAAGCACAAGCAGACTACGCAGAAGCAAACAGGGAAGTGAAGAAAAGCATTAAAGCCGACAAGCAGAACTACATGGGAGAACTAGCAACGGCGGCGGAAAAAGCAGCAAGAGAAGGCAATATGAAACAACTATGTGATACAACGAAGAAATCGGATGGGAGATATAGCAAACCAGAGAGACCAGTCAAGGACAAAGTAGGAAAGACAATCACTGAGATTCAAGAACAGAGGAAAAGATGGGCAGAATACTTCTAGGAACTGCTGAATAGACCAGCCCCATTGAATCCACCGAACACCGAAGCAGCCCACACTGACCTTCCAATAGATGTCACTCCACCAACGATCGAAGAAGTCAAGATGGTCATCAGACAAATCAAAAGTGGGAAGGCGGCAGGACCTGATAATATACCAGCAGAAGCACTGAAGTCAAACATTGAAATAACTGCAAACATGCTTCACCTTCTATTCAAGAAGATTTGGGAAGAGGAACAAGTGCCAACGGACTGGAAAGATGGATATCTCATCAAGATACCAAAGAAAGGAGATCTGAGCAAATGTGAGAACTACAGAGGTATCAGTTTGTTATCAGTACCAGGAAAAGTTTTCAACAGAGTGCTGCTGAATCGGATGAAAGACGCAGTAGACGCCGAACTTAGGGATCAACAGGCTGGATTCCGTAAGGATCGGTCGTGCACAGACCAGATTGCGACACTACGGATCATCGTTGAACAGTCAGTTGAGTGGAACTCATCACTATACGTCAACTTCATCGACTATGAGAAGGCGTTTGACAGCGTGGATAGGAGAACATTATGGAAACTTCTTCGACACTATGGAGTTCCTCAGAAGATCGTCAACATTATCCAAAACTCATACGATGGATTACAGTGCAAAGTGGTGCATGGAGGACAGCTGACAGATGCATTTCCAGTAAGGACGGGAGTCAGACAAGGCTGTCTACTCTCCCCCTTACTTTTCCTTCTAGTGATTGACTGGATTATGACGAATTCGACATCTGAGGGGAAATACGGAATACAATGGACTTCTCAGAATCAATTAGATGATTTGGACTTCGCAGATGACCTAGCCCTCCTCTCTCATACACACGACCAAATGCAGATGAAGACAGCAAATGTAGCAGCAGCCTCCGCATCGATAGGCCTCAACATACACAAAGGAAAAGCAAGATTTTCAAATACAACACGGAGAACACCAACACAATCACACTTGATGGCGAAACTCTGGAAGAGGTGGAAACATTGAAGTACCTGGGGAGCATCGTTGATAAACAAGGAGGATCGGATGCAGATGTAAAGGCGAGGATTGGCAAAGCAAAGGCAGCATTTCTACAATTGAAGAACATATGGAACTCAAAACAACTCTCAACCAATTTCAAGGTGAGAATCTTTAATACGAACGTCAAGACAGTCAGTTATACTGTATGGAGCTGAAACGTGGAGAACTACTACGGCCATCATCAGGAAGGTACAAGTATTTATAAACAATTGTCTACGCAAAATACTCAACATCCATTTGCCGGATACTATCAGCAACAGCGTTTTATGTGAGAGGACAAACCAGCTTCCAGCTGAAGAGGAAATTAGGAAAAGACGTTGGAAGTGGATCGGACATACATTGAGGAAATCACCAATGTGCATCACAACTCAATCCCTAACTTGGAATCCGGAAGGGAAGCGGAAAAGAGGAAGGCCAAAGAACACACTACGCCGGGAAATAGAAGCCGATATGAAAAGGATGAATAGCAACTGGAAAGAACTGGAAAGGAAGACTCAGGACAGAGTTGGATGGAGAATGCTGGTGAGCGGTCTATGCTCCTCCACAAGGGGTAACAGGCGTAAGTAAGTAAGTAAGTAATTCATCACATTTCCTATTTGTGTTCTTCCTATCTAATGTGCGGTTTTTCATATGAAATAGTTTTATCAAGGTAATAATAATAATGATGATAATAATAGTATACACTACCTGATCGTGTGATTATAAGAACAAGAACATCAGTTTGTTGACCTCAGATGTTGTTTTTGCAAATGTCATTGATTGAACTTTCTTGTTGTTTATCACTACCTTGTAATCTAACTAAATATATATGATGGTTTTTTCATTTGTATATTTAGCCTGATATAAATCATCAACATAATGAGGAATGTTGTTTAATAATGATGCTTTCCTATGACCGACAGTCACCCACTCATACGGAGGAATGTTGAATTAAATTTTCACTTTAAGAATGGTTACTACTAAGTATGGAGAGACTGAAGTTTAAACAAACAGTTTTCATGTGTACTCATAGATGGCCTTGCATCAGATATGCATAAACACTGTAATTATTACTCATCTAGTATCAAATGAGTTCAGTTATCGTTATCTTGAAGATATGTCTGTATCCTCACTTCATAAAGCTAAGGAACTATTGCGGTACGTTTGAAGTTTGCGTTACGATCACACGGTATTTATTACAAAGTCCTTATATATCGTTAAACCACAGTTTAAAAGTCAATAATAACATTCCGTTAACCCTTGAAGAAAAATGGTTCGACTGACACAAAAACGAGCTTGAAAAAGTACTATTTCTTCAGATATTAACAACTCTGGTCTTACCTATACCGGCGGGACTAACGAACATGGACGACCTTTGAACGAATCTTAAATGACCCTGAGAAATACTAGTCAATTAGTCTCGCCGAAATAAAACAGCTATTCATAAGAGTGTAAATCGCTAATCAACTGTAGTTTTGTACGCTGAGCTTTGGATCATACTTTATTCGAGGGCTAATATTACCACTCGATTAACTTAAACAGAATAATTGAAGCAGAAATTGAGCTGATAGAATGATGGAAAATCAGTCGGGTTAGTCACTTACCACGCTCATCGTCCTGAGACTACATTTTAAAAGAGGACATTAGCTTTTCACATGTTCCAAATATCCATCACTAGTTATCGTATATGATGTGAATGTAACATCGCGCTTGTAAGACCACGTGCATGGTACTCATTATTGATATTGTTAAGAATTATTTTAGAATACTTCAAACTATTTAGGTTTTAAGCGGATATAATTGTAGTATTGTTTCATCTGCACTTATTCTGGCTTTTAGAATTGCTTTATACTAACATGCCTCTCCCACCAGCCCTTCTTGCTCGACTTAAAAAACGTGGTATTGTTTCCGCCGATCCACAGGAAGAAGGTAGGTTTAATTACAGTTACTGACCAGAATTTAGCTGTGGAGGAAGTTTTTGCTGAGAATTATGATGAAGAAAGTGAACCAGTGTTACCAGTATCCTTTGATCAACCGTTTAACGCTAAGAAATGTTACACGGTCAGTCCTGTTCCTATTATCGAGAATGGGGTTTTAATCCATGAATGTGCTGAGTGCCCTAATCAAACTAATCCGTATCATGTTTGTTCACCCTATTGTTATGAACGATATGGGCGAAGAAAGTTCAACACTGATCTAACAAACATTCGTTTAAAAAGCAGAATGCTACGTCGTTATCCACTCCCAAGCCATTGGATTGAAGTTGGTGATCCAGTGACTGGAAGGCAAGTCCAACGTCTATTATCTGGTTTGTTATGACTTTTCCATAACGAAGTTAATCCTCAACTTTGGTTTTAAAGTATACTGGTTTTAAGACTTGAAAATTCTGGCTTCCATCCTATGGATGGTCAAGAGTGAGCATCGCCAGAGGGCCCCGGTCTAGGACAAAACAGAAGTTTATTGCTTTTTGATTTTCGATGGTCTTTCAGCCGATATTTATCATTGGAAAAGGATGGCTCAGCATGATAGTACTCTCCAGCCGATCATTGTTCACCAATAACCTTAAAGATAAATTATCGCATCTGACCAACTCCATGTGTATTTACCAATTTACCTGTTTATGTGGAGCTAGTTACTTTATGCAAAAGAATTCAGGGACATTATCCAACGTGGCTAAAAAGAGGAGGAAACCTCTCAGTAAGAAGTTCAATAGTCGAACACATTGTAAACAGGTCACTCATTCAATACAGACTCTGCGTTCAAAGTCATCTACAAGGTAAGTAGAAGTCTTTGAAAGACAATTAGATTACATCCTCTTTGCATTGCCGAAGCAATAGCCATACATCTGGAAGAATCAGAATTGTGTGCAAAAGAGACTGCTACAACCTCTTCTTCTACCATGGTCTCAATGTCTGATGATTTTTTAGATCTTTCTTCATACTCTCCTTTTACAGCCATCTGCTTCACCTTAAATCTTCTACCACCAACTAGTTTATTTATTTTTCTACGATCATCCTGATTACATTTAATCTGAATTTCAACATTTTATACTGAGCCATTCTTTCCCAATGATAATTTCCCTATCTATCTCTTGATGAATACCTAAGCCATTAACAATCAAACAATTATTAAACTTTCCTTGATTTGGCCCCCAAATGCCCTGGTACGGCCGAGAGTGGGGAGGGCCCGCCGTCTCTCTCGAAATGCTCTCACACGGCCACGCGTATACAGCATCTGCCAAGGACATCCTACTCACTGCCTTCTCGCACCAGGGTGTTGTTTACGAAATTGAGAGGACTAAAAGCGAATGTCCGGCGCTTTAACCGGGTTGGTGGACATGGAAAGTTTACCCAGGGGAGTTGGAAAACCCTGATTCCAAACCAATGGTGCACATGGGATCCAGTATCTCGAAGGAACGAATGGCGTATGAACCTATTGTTTGTCACCGTCTACCATGGGATTGCATCTCCTCGCGATGCTCCACTGCCTTGTGGATCAGACATTCAGGTCAAAGGCTCCGGGTGTGGCCCCCTAAGAAAACCACCTGCTTCAGTCTGGTCATCCGGGCAGTATCATAGCCCTCAAACAATTAAATGAAATGGCAATTTTTTGTGTGGCGCATATATATCTTGTACCCCCTTGTACCAATATTTGTGTTCAAATAAAATAAAATAACTTGTTTTATAAATTTTTTTTTAAAATACGTTTGTTTATTGTGCCTTACTGTCACCATGTGTAATAAAAGTTTATTATCAGTATTATTGTCATGCTGTAGAATAAGTATATATACTTTCGATTGTACAGATTTGAAAATGAATTCGCCGAACAGAGAGCTCTTCACTGAACTAATCTTATTTAGTTTATTTTTATTGATTAATCTGTAATTCCCTTTTTATGTCCATCATCAGGTAATATTGTCCTCTATGTATGACGACGTATTTTTCTCTTTTACAGATTTTACTACTGGAATACTAAAACAGATGATGTATGCTGGTTGTCTCCGTTACATCCACGTGCTAAAATTAGTCAACCTGGTAGCATTGTTCGGGCCAATACGTTACGTGAACGTGACGCAGCTCGAGCTGCAGCTGAAGCTGCTACTGCTGCAGTTTTAGCTGCCGAACGAAAAGATTCACGACGTAGATCTAGTGATTCCGGTAGTAATCGATCAGGCAGCGAAAGTGAAGATAACGACTCTGATGAAATGAAAGAATCTAAACGATCTAGACGTGAAACATCCAGATCTCCAGAACATGATACTAATAGAGCGCTGTTTAGACGAAATAATTCATCTCGCTGGCAGGATGCTGAATCAGAAAATAATCATCATCGAAGCGTATCTAATTATAACGATTTCAACGAATCGACTAACGAACATGAAGCTGTAACACAAAAGCTATCTGATACAGCTAATTTTAACGAGTACAATCAATTAGGGGATGAGTTTGATGAAGATGAAGAATCACCCGATGGAATTCCTTTGACTGAAAACTATTATAACAATAGTCATAATCAAAATATTGAAGTGGAATCTAACTTACAAAACTCTAGAGATGAGCATCCACCACCTCCCACATTTCCTCCTCCTCCCCCACCACCGCCAGCTCATTTAGTCTATCCTCCAACCCAATGGAACCGACCACCTGAATCGTCTTCATTATTTCCATCGCAAGTCAAAAATCACACTGATGATCAAACTAGTGGTACTACTACACGCGGTTGGAATCGACCAACAGAGACATCTGATAATAATCGTTTTAGATATAGAGATAGGGATAGAAAACGTAAGCTGATTTATACAATATTTTTTGAAAATATTTCATTATTATTATCGTTATTACTTCCATGAAGTAGACTCGATGTTATGATTTAAACAGTAACAGTTATCCAGTAATTTTCTAATAAAGATTACATGGTTTGTCACAAGCACGTGTAGATTCTAGTTACCATGCTTCGTTCTAACACGTTACAAGAAAATCAATAAGACAAAAACAACAGCTCAGGAATACTAGGTATCATAACATTAGTGGTGAAATACAACCGACAGAAACAAGTAAATCTATGGAACAATAATACCGAATAACACAATGCTTAAGATGAAATACAAATAAATAACGGTGAAAATTCCCATTTAGACATTTACTAGAGATCGGAAAAGCATTCCTTTTCTATTAGTTTTTCTTCAAGGCTCTACACTAATATATATTTATTGTTGTAAAATATAACCTTAGAAAAAATCAAGATGCATTCAAAGCATTACTTGCGTATGTTGACCCTACAGAGTCATTAATACTGGAGCAAGCAAAGGGTACTGGCTATGTATTGGCACAAATCCATGAAGTCACTGACAATCGGACTGATCCATGTTGGTAGGTGTAGACTACCTGGTTGGGATTCGCGAGATGATAGCAATCGATGGTTAGAGACCTTGAATGACATGGCTCAAAATCGTTTGCAATGGCGTAGGTGCATCTACTCTTTGTGTTCTACCGAATTCTAGTCTTCTGAATTCTTCATGTCCCTATCCTTTTTCTCTTTCCAAATTTATTTCACTGGATTATACTTCTTCAATAACATCTTCAAACCCTAATCTTTCACATTAAGGTTTATACTCTTACTACTTCTACCACTATGGGATTCGAATCGACAACTGCATCTCTGTGCTAATGTGGTATGGCAACTCAAACTGATGTACGTGCGTACGAAGTTCTACGTTGTGACTGACTGACTGGCTATGTATAAGATTGCAAACTTTCACCGACTAACATGATTGGAATGTGTTACGCATCCTTAGCACTTTGCGACATTGACATCTTGTACTGGTTTTGTGTAGGTGGAACTTGAAGGTGACTAGCTGGCCTCACGGAAAGATGGGTAGATAGTCAGATATATGCGAATTGTGATGTATATTCTTCCTATCACTTGTATTTGTCATAATAATATATGTATTAGTCAGGCTGATAACATACTCTTAGTCTGAAATGAGTGGACGTGGGGTAGATTAGTCTCTGGGTACGTATCTAGTATTGCATGTCAATTGTGTATATTATAGTATCGTTCTGTTATTCGTTCTAGAAAATCAAGCGTCCCATTAGTATTCAGGGCGGTTTTAACAACAATTCAACTGACTAACGTAGAAGAAAGTTGAAAGGCTAGTGATGTTCAAACCGAATAATATAATCAACCTATAGTCACTGATTGTTGATCTAATTCGTCTAGGGTGCAAATTTCCTGATAGAGGTTTTCGAACTAGTCTTAATCTACAGTTGGAAATTCTACGCGGATCGTCCTAATCGGTCAAAGTAGTACTCGAACTGTTTTCTGTCTTTAGATTGCCGCGACAATATAGTTTTTAATTCATTACCTTGATAATTTTAACTGCTTTTGCTTGTGTAAAGCAATACCTATTTGAGGTACATATACGCATTTGAAACATTAAGGTCTAGTGTAATAGCTTATTTTTTGTTAACCTAGATGCATTCACGAATATTTATAATTTAATCCAGATTTTCCTACTCCATTGCAGTCTTCAATCCACGCAGTTTGACTAAAGCTTTCGTTATCAAATGTCTAATCTAGACTGTGGATCGTCACTACTTTAGCGCAGAAGCGTCGTGATAGGATGCTAACAGACCTCGTTTCCTGTCATACTTAATTTATTTTTTCTTACAATTACTTGAAGGTCGCGCAGCAACTCTTGGACCTTTAGACCCAATGGATCCAGCGTCTTATGGTGACATACCACGTGGAACATGGAGTTCAGGTTTAGAAGGAGTTACTGGAACACCATCGGCTAAGACAGGTGTAGACAGCACTGCATCGGGACCATTATTTCAACAACGTCCATACCCTAACCCTGGTGATGTTTTACGTGCAAATGCTGCGGCTAAAGTCCATGAAGAGGAAAAACAAGATGAATCTAATAATTAAAGTTTTACTTCTGAAGTTATTCTGTACACTCGTTTTCTTTTCAATAGAATGTCAATTAATTTAAAAAACCACTAAATAGTTTGATGACTTCGCAAGATACTTTCTCCATCGGTGGAGTAAGAAAAATTCATAGTTAAATAGTTATTCATGTGCGAAAAATATCAGAAAGAACAATTGTTTCTGATGACTTCATCATGCTTCAGTTATTAACTTCAGATATATTGTTATTATTTACGCTTGTTACCCCTCGTAAAGAAACATAGACCACCCACTAGCATCCACCATTGAACTCTGTTTTGGACAATCCTTTCCAGTTGCTATTCATCCTTTTCATGCCTACCTCCTATTCCCGACTTATTGTGTTCTTCGGCCTTCCTCTTTTCCGTTTCTCTTTGGGATCCCAAGTTAGGGCCTACCTCGTGATACAGCTTGGTGACTTCCTGAATGTATGTTCTTTCCACTTCCAACGTCCTTTTCTAATTTCCTCTTCAGTTGGAAGCTGGTTCGTCCTCTCCCACAGTAAGCTGTTTCTGATGGTATCCGACCAACGGACATAGGGTATTTTACGCAGACAATTGTTTACAAATACTTGTACCTTTTTGATGAAACTTGTAGTAGTTCTCCACGTTTCAGCTCCGTGCAGTAGGACTGTCTTGACGTTCGTATTGAAGATTGTTACTTTGATATTGGTTGCCAGTTGTTTTGAATTCCATATGTTCTTCAATTGTAGGGATGCGGCTCTTGCTATGTCAATCCTCGCCTCTACATTCGCAGCAGATCCTCCTTGCCCAGTCAGGTACATGGAAGATTCCACATCTTCCAGAGCTCCATCAAGTGAGATTGGGTTGGTGTTCTCTGTGTTGTACTTGGGGTTTTTGCTTTTTCATTTGTGTATGTGTGTATTTTGTGTATATTGTCAGGTCCTGCTGATTACCCACTCTTGATTTGCCTGATGGGCATCCTCATTTATTCGATAGTTGGTGCAGTGACATCCATAGGAAGGTCTGTAGGTGCTGCTTCGATATCCAGTGGATTCAATGGGGCTGGTCTACTTAAGAGTTCCTCGAAGTATTCTACCCAGCTATCCCTCTGATCTTGAATCTCGGTGATTAGCTTGCCTTCTTTGTCCTTGCCCGGTCGCTCTGGTTAAGTATATTTCCATGCCAGTCTCTTCGTTGTGTTGTATAGTTGTTTTCTATTTACATCTCTGGTAGCTTTTTCCAATGTCGTTGCTGGGTCCTCCACGTATTTCAGCTTGTCGGCTGAAATGCTCTTCTTTACTTGCTTGTGTAATCAGCTTGTGCCTTGACTTTCTCTGCTCGTGTTTGGCTGTTGTCAATTGTCTTGTTCTTTCTTTCTTCAATCTTGTGCAGGGTCACGATAGAGATCCATTCCTTATGATGATGCTTCTTGTGGTTCAGAATCAAACCTGACACGTTGAAGTTAGTGCTTCTTTGATCCCTTTCCAATTGTCCTCCATTGTAGTTTCTTTTTTGAGTAAATCTTGGAACGTTTGGAACCTGTCGTTGAGAGTTATCTGAAATTCGTTGAGTTTGTCACTATCTCGAAGGAAGTCTGTATTGAACCTTTGTAATGCTGTTTGTCCAATGCTTCTTTAGCTTCATTTTCATCTTGGCAACCACCAGGCGGTGGTCTGAAACTATGTCAGTTTCTCTCTTGCTTCTTACGTCTTCCATTGAATTTCTAAAATTCTTAGTGATGCAAATATGATCGAGAATCACCACGTTGCATCTTCTCATTACCTTAACAATTTCATTGATTCTCCCGGTTTTCCACATTGACTGGACATTCCATGTACTTACTTACGCCTGTTACCCCTCGTGGAGGAGCATAGGCCGCCCACCAGCATTCTCCATCAAACTCATCATGGGCAATCCTTTCCTGTTGTTATTTATCCATATCTGCTTATTCCTTCAACTTCCAGGGCAGAAGTTTAAATGGTTTGAATTACTTTTTCTGGTTAGCGTTTTTTTAGCGAGTTAGTTTTTCTACGGTATGGGGTCGCTAACCCCATGTCCTTTATCCGGGCTTGAGACCGGCAGTACCTCTAGAAGAGCTACAGGCGGAGTTGGACATTCCATGTACCGATATTAATTGTTACTCTGGTTGTTAAAAGGGGCGTCGGCCTCTTGATTTCCAAAGAATCTGGACTTTCATCGTGAGGCGTCTTAATTGTTCTAAATGAAGACCCTTCGATTCGCATGATAGTGTAAATGGTTTAAATAGTTTTTTTTTTCTAGCTAACGCTTTCTAGGCAATGTTGGTTTCTACGAGATAAAGGTCGCTAACCCCATGCCCAGCCCTCCTGCTTTACCCGGGCTTGGGATCAACAGTAACCCTAGAAGACCTACAGGCGGAGTTTGTATCATTATTACAATGGACAAAATGTTCAAGTTGAATCATTTCCGTGTACATTTTGTTATTCATCAATTTGAATAGTCAGATATCATTACTGTCTAATAGAAGAAATTGTTGATATTTGACTCCAATGGAATAACATTTTATTGCCGTCAATATTAAATAAAGGCGACTAATTCAGGATTCATAATGGAAACAAAGCTATATAACTCGATTTTACACTTCTTATTCAGCTACTAAAAGCCAATAACATTGAGGATACAGATAGTTCATTTGTGATTTTAAGCTTTTATTTATGCGTTCAAGAAAATTAAACTAAGTTTTGTTATTAAATGCCGTACTATAAACTTATTTCCTTTCGATTAAAAATGATGACTCCTGCTCATGACTTACTACCATCAACGTTAAGTAAATAAGACCATATTATGCGAGAATATATATTGTATGTATTTGTATCATCATCATCATTTCAAAGGAACATTGATAAACAAGAATGTGTTTACATAAAATGAAAATTAAGGAAAGTATTTAACATTCTATAATGCATATATGTATACTTGCAATTATCTCTGAGGCACTATATATGCGTGTAAAAGATGAATAAAGTGAAATCAAAACAGGATACATCATGATAATAAAGAGATTAATTACGAAAACAAAAAAAAGAAAAATACAGACAAAAGCTCAGCTATTTGTACATACATACATGTTTTTTTTTTCAATGTAAGAATGCCTAGTACACATGGCTTCCAGATCTCAACTACGCAATTTGTTTGGATGGATAATTGTGCGAATGATGACCAAATGACACACAACCAAATAGCAAATGTAGACTAGTTGTATGAGGTAATAATTAAATTAAATCGACAATAGATTAATATTACTAATAAAAGCCTAATCCAATTTAAATAAAAAATACATTGGGAATTAAAAATTTATAGTATACTCCCTTTATGGATATATTGCGAAGATATAAATGATTCAAATGACCATGTAATTGAGGAAATAACCTAGAAAGAAGTAGCACCCACCCTACCAGACGTATATGAGGTAATCTAGACAAACAGAAATTACCAAGCCATCATTAATTTATCCTACTGAACGATGTGTTGTTTGTAAGTAGTATGTCCCACTTTATATATAAACAAGCAAAAACTAATAAATAAATGGAATGTAATAATAGGTTTTAAGAGATGTAAAAATAAAAGAAATGAAACTCCAAGAATTAGACACGTTCGCTGAATGTGAAGAATAATTTAGAGAAAAATTAGACATGCAACTTGTTCACCTATCTTAAAGGTTTCCGAGTATCAGAAGCCAACCCAAACAAAAAACGACAGTGAACAAGCAAACAGGTTATTGTAAATTTCAATTTGGTGGTGGGATTGTATCATGTGTGAAATAGCATAAGCTGATCAAGTTTTCAGTATTTTCAAGACAGCTGTGTTTATCCAATAACGTGCACAAAGACCAAGCGAGCGCATAGCCCAGGTTAAACAGCTTTATACAATTTGATACCTTGAAAATGTGATAAAGGGAAATTATGAATGATTAGTGATTATGAACACGATTGATCTTTATTTTTGAAACTAGCGAAGCCATCTCATTCTGGTCGGTATTCATCTTTGCATAAATAAATTATTCTAGCTAAATCACAATTTCGTGTACAACATGTGGATATAACTAATGCATCGAAGAATCAACGTTGTCAGAATGCATTAAACTCAACCCCTTCAAACTGGTAACAAAATAATTTAGCAACAATAAGGTATAAAGAAAATATCAACCGAAATTACTGGGTCTCATCTGAATATAACGATGATCACAGGATCCAGCACAATAATAAACGGATATTTTATTGTCATCACTTTTACAAGCTCATCTGATTTCTATAACAGAAGGGGTTTTTGTGGATATTATAGTAATATTAGTATTTGAAGCTGGGTTCGAATCTCGCGAGGTGGGGTCGTGGATGCGCACCGCTGAGGAGTCTCACAATAGGACGAAACAGTCGTCCAGTGCTTTCAGGTTTTCCATGGTGGTCTAGCTTCAAGTGACTCATGATCTCATCTGATTTCATTTGTTTCCATAGTTTCAGTCAGTTCAATATCTTTGAGATCAAACGACAAGCATAATTGCTCGACGTGTAATAACTGTCATAGTTTATCTCAACTAATAAACACCCGTATGGTTTTACGTTATTTCATAAGATGTTTTGTTAATTTCCATCGACATCTTTTTTGAAGTGGTGCAGTTTGTGGATGTAAAAGTTCATACATCTTTCATACTCACTATTGAAAATGTAAATAATAATAGCTTATTAGAGTAGTGAAGTAGGAGGTGAGTGGTTAAAAGATATCTCTAACAAAATATAATGATAACTACATAGATTAGGGAGTTACACAGGTATGCCGTTAAAAGTAAGGAACTTTTCACTATTAGATTGTAGTGGTGTTCAAACACACCTACTTCAGTTTAGAATATTGGATAGCATAATCAATCTAGTTATTAACTTTTAAAAACAAGAAATTTGGTCCAGTAGTTGAGTAAAACCTTATCAGTTGACTTTACTTTCAAATATTTTAATCGGTAATGGCTAATAAAGAAAAAAATTAATAACAATTAACTTCTAATAGTCTCAAACGTAGAATAAAATAACTGTCCAGCACTTTTGAGCATTCAATAATTTCCTAGTTGATGTGAATCTGTTAGTCAACGTAGAGCATAGCATAGTTGTCACAACATATCAGCATAGCGAAATAGCATTATCAAGATGAATACCAAAGTTGTAGAAATAGTGGTTTTATCAGTGTTAGTAAGAAAGATCAGGGAGACAGGTGAAATTTGAGAAAGCATAAATAGAAGACATAGCATAATCTTAAAACGCATGATCTAAAAAAAAGTAGAGAGTGGATCTGTGACCGGCTCTAAGCCAAGTCATCCAAAAGTCTATTTGGCCAAGATAAGCTTGTAGGCTCCAACCAGGTTTTCTACACCTACTAACACGGTTCATTTCAATGGTTGGATGGAATAATGTCGCGTCTTGGTTTGTTTGCCACTAGCTCGGTTACTATCTATTACGCCAGCGAATATCGCGTGTTGAGATAGGCGGCGGTTGAGTACATGTAGCCCATATGTCAATTCGTGATGAAAACGTGATATGGAGGGCGATGGCCTAGTCGATTGAAGTGCAAATGACATGAGATTGGGTTTTCCTAATCGTTAATGACACGTGATCACATCCTGAGATGTAATAATATAACTTAGTCAATGCATTATAGGTGTTAGCTACATATGCTTAATTGTATGACTTGGTAAATAGGTATTCATACAGTAAGTCAATGAGTAATTGATGTTAAATACTATATAGTTCAACTTCTACAAGTCTAACTGTTAATCTGAATGCAAATAAATCATATAAAAATGGTGTATTTATATATCACTTCGGTATATTTTGGGAGTTAAATAAATCCATGTCAACAGCCTTTGTATTTTCATGACGCTTCATTGGAATCCAGGTTTCAGTATCAAGCACAAATCAGTTAAGAGATTTCATAGACATAACAAAATTATTCTTCTCGAAACTGAAATAATCTGTGTAAAAGTTCCTAACTATCTGGTAAATTTCGGTAACGACAGAAATGTCAACAAATATGAAGTCTAAAAAGTACTTACAATCCATAATTTCATTTTTCGCCAACTGAACTTCTTTACGTAGTTCAACAATAATTTCACGGCGTAAATTATCCAATTCTGACCGAGTCAATGATAAATCAGAATTTATAATATTTGATGTTGTGGAACAATTAGGTGCACTAACGTTTCGGCTGAAGAAACACAAACATTTGGAAATTATAAATTGACATTTTTTCGGAATGGAATTATTTGTTGATTTAAGGAAACAAAACACAAACAACGATCAGAGGGAAGTGATAAATAAATTAGAAGAACTGAATGAAAACTTTAACATTTCAATGGAATTAATCCCGACAGTGGTTGGCTATTTTCATGTTGTCCAGTTCTTAGTATTCATCAAATCCTATCGGTCGAATTGGGATGTGATAAATAAACCCAATGATTACAGACTGGGATTGAAGACAACAGCCAAGAAGCCTGGTGCCTAGGTATTGTGCTAGTTAGTGTTCGTCAATACAGTGTATTTTTAATTTTACAGGAGTCGATCCATCTAGATGTATTTAAATTTAACCATAACAAAGAACTAAACAGTGTGTAATTCATGCAACTATTTTAGTACAGGAAATTTTTTGGGGCCAGTACAGTTCAGTTATAGATCATCTGATTGTAACATTGGGTGATGAGAAAATAGACACTACCAAGACTGTAATTGATGACTGAGAACTAGGATAAAATCTTACCCTAAGGATTCCAGATGACTTGTTTCAATAACTTAACTTTCGTAAACCTACAATAAATAGCTATCAAAAACCACTATGTTTCAAATTATTATGTATACAGACATCCCACATAGTATCAATGCACTTTGACACAAGCTTGATTTCCATTCATAATCACAGTTGTCTAAATAAGACATAACTCGGTATTCGAAGTAGTCAAGTCAGGAGATTTTGTCATCAAAATTTAGGAGTGAATCGGTCTAGTACGGTACACAATGCAGTAGATATTAGTGTGTAAAAAATCGCTGGAAAAGTCTGTACATTTTATCCAGTTTTAGTTGTTCTACTTTCCGATCACCAGTATACAAATGTCAGCAGTAAAATGGACCAATTTTTTATCTTAATAAGTCATTGAAAGTAATCGAAAATGTTGTTTATAAAAGCTATATATGGGGTAAGGATCATGTGGTCTCCGAACAAAAATACGCTGAAATAGATGTAGTCACATCTATTCCGGCCCAGCTGGTGACAATATAATAACATACGAGAAAAATTGGCAGTGGGAATAGAAATATTAAGAAGTAATGGAGGGATTTCAATTGCGCCCGAATGCCCTGGTACGACCGAGAGTGAGAAGAGTCCGCTCACCCTCTCCAAATGCTCTCACATGGCCACGCTTATATAGCCTCTGCCAAGGAAGTCCTACTCACTGTCTTCTCGCACCAGGGTGTTGTTGACGAAATTGAGAGAATTTCCGGCGCTATAACCGGATTGGTGGACGTGGAAAGATCACCTATGGGAGTTGGAAAACCCTGATTCCAAACCAATGGTGCACATGGGCCGACTCCAGTATCCTGAGGGAACAAATGGCTTATGAATCAATCGTTGGTCACCGGCTACCATGGGACTGCATCTCCTCACGATGCTCTACTGCCTTGTGGATCAGACCTTTAGGTCAAAGGCTTGGGGTGTGGCCCCCTAAGAAAACCACCTGTTTCGGTCAGGGCACCTGAGCAGTATCACAGCCCTCACACAAATCAGATGAAATTTGTGTGGCGCATATTTATCTGGTGCCTCTTTGCACCAATATTTATGTGTCTAAATAAAATGATTTCAATTGCTGTTAGAAATGTGGGGGGACACACCACTTCTTGGTTGCCCACATCGTAGGAGGATATTTCTTCTTGAAAGACCTGCAAAAGGAACTGGGCTAATGGTGATCTTAGTGACGCAGGAAAGTGACTGTACAGACCAGGAGACATCTGCTTTAAGCCGGTCACATGTGGGATTTTTTTATGGGGAGTTTTTGGTGTGTCAAGTTCATACTTCAGAAGGCCTAATTTGGAGACGAAAATCCAAGGAGTAGTTTGAAAAGTGACATTTTCGGGGTCGACCTTTTCTAATCTACTCCTTTCTTCTAAGAAAGGCCCACACATGCCCTGGTACGGTCGAGAGTGGGGAGAGTCACCTCTCCCTCTCCAAATGCTCTCACATGGCCACGCGAATACATAGCCTCTGTCAGTGAAGTCCTACTCACTGCCTTCTCGTGGCGGGAGTGTTGCTTATGAAAGTGAGAGGACGAAAAGAGAATGTCCGGCGCTATAACCGGGTTGGTGGATGTGGAGGATCCACCTAGGGTAGTTGGAAAACCCTGATTTCAAACCAATGGTGCACATGGGCCCCAGTATCCTGATGGAACGAATGGCGAATGAACCTGTTGTTGGTCAACGGCTACCATGGGACTGCATCTCCTCACGATGCTCCACTGCCTTGTGGATCAGACATTCAGGTCAAAGGCTCCGGGTGTGGCCCCCTAAGAAAACCACCTGCTTCAGTCTGGGCACCTGGGCAGTATCACAGCCCTCACACAAATCGAATGAGATTTGTGAGGCGCATATTTATCTGGTGCTTCCTTGTACCAATATTTATGTGTTTAAATAAATAAATAAATAAATAACCATATCGCTAATTCACCCCCTTTTATCCCCAATTTGTGTAACCTTACTTTTCATCTTATGCAGCAGCTCGCTCTTGGTGGAAAATCTGTCCTATCTAAACGATCTCCAGTCACTGTCTGGTTGAAAGTGAATGCTTCCACCGATTATGAATACTGAAGCAGTCTTTCTGAAACCACGTACGCCGTTCAAGCTGGCTTCCTTCAACGTTCGCACACTAATGCAGATCAGACAACAGATAGGGCTGGCTATGTCTTTGGAAGGTCTTAATGTTGACGTTTGTTGTCTATCCGAGACTCGCATTCAAGACTCTAGTGAAGTACCACAAATCCGCTCTCCATCTGTCGCCTCGAAAAGCTTGTTTCACGTGCACTTATCCGAGGACCCTGTGGCATCTTCGTCTGGTCTTGCTGGCGTTGGTGTCGCACTAAGCGCCAGAGCTGAGGCAGCACTAATCGACTGGATCCCCATTAACAGTCGGTTATGTGCTGTTAGATTGGAAAGTTCCATCAAAATGAGAAGAAACCGGCGTGAGAATCGGTGTCTTTTCGTCATCTTCGCCTATGCTCCGACAGATTGCAGCCCAGATGCAATCAAGGATGAGTTTTACCATCAGGTAACAGTTCTTCTCCAGAAAGCGCGTTCGACAGATATTGTAGTATTAGCCGGAGACTTGAATGCACAGGTCGGGCGTCTAGGCACAGAAGAAAGTCGTTTAGGTGGCCGATGGGGACTTGTTGGTCGCAGGACAGATAACGGGGACCGTTTGCTGCAACTGCGCACAGACCAAAACCTGTTTCTGGCCAGCACAAACTCCCGGCACAGTCGTCGCCGGTGTGCCATCTGGCGTCCTCCCTCTGCATCTCAAGCCTGGACTCAGATTGATCACATCGCGATCAGCTACCGCTGGCGTGGTTGTGTACAAGACTGCCGCTCCTTTTGGAGTACCTATCTGGAGTCTGATCATGCCCTGGTCTGCGCCAATCTCACCTCACTTTCCAGTGGCCGAAGGATTGACCACCACCAACGGATCGATGTTAGTAAACTGGCTGCAACTTCTGTTGCAAGTAAGTATCGAGCGGAGCTAGCTTCTAGGCTAGCTACCATCCCACCGATAAGTATATATAAGCATTGGTTGCATCTTCACGACGCCATGAAAATGGCGAGTAAAGCCGCTTGCAGCTTCGCGAAACGTCCCGCTTACAAGCACTGGGTTTCTTCTGGCTCCTTACAACTAATGGAAGCCCGTCGGTCTACTCCGGGTGACCGTGAGTATGACCACAAACGAAGGCTGTTACGTAAAGAAATTGGGCAAAGCTTGCGTAAGGACCGAGAAGCCTGGTGGTCCGAGCGTGCTAATGAGATGGAAGCAGCAGCTGCATCTGGTAACTGCCGGAAGCTCTTCCAACTCATCCGAGCCACTGGCAGCAAGAAGTCTGGTGTGAGTGAAACAATCTACGAGGATGACGGGATGCCAATCAGTAACATCTCTCGACGTCTTGGACGATGGGCGGAATTTTTCGAAGGGCAGTTCAATTGACCTGCTGCTCCGGCAACATCGACCAGTTTGTCCTGCCCCCCATGGCCGGTGACGACTGATCCACCAAACGAGGCGGAAGTTCGCAAGGAACCCCAACTCTTGAAGCGCTACAAATCACCGGGCCCAGATGACTTACCTCCGGCTCTTTTTAAAGATGGTGGTGACTTTCTGGCTAAGGAACTGACTGCGTTGTTTGCAAAGGTTTGGGAGGGAGAAAGTGTTCCAACATCATGGAATGAGTCGATAGTCGTCCCTATCTTTAAAAAGCGTTCACGTTGTTCCTGTGATAACTATCGTGGTATAAGTCTTCTTCCGACTGCGTCCAAACTATTGGCTTCTGTCATTCTTCGTAGGTTGTTTAAAACCCGAGAACGATTGACTCGCGAGGAGCAGGCTGGTTTTCGTTCTGGTCGAGGATGCATTGATCACATCTTCACCCTCCGCCAAATGTTAGAACACCGTCATACTTATCGCAGGCCAACAATCGTAGTGTTTCTTGATATCAGGGCTGCCTTCGATTCGTTGGACAGGACTGTTCTCTGGGATTGTCTATTGAAGAAGGGTGTGCCTGAGAAGTTCATTAACATCTTAAAGGCCCTGTATACGAACACCTCAGGCAGAGTGAGGGCATACAACCACCTCTCTCCCTTGTTTCATTCGAGCAGTGGAATTAGGCAGGATTGCCCGATCTCTCCATTCCTCTCCAACTTTGCCATCGACGACATCCTGGAAACAGCTCTGATGGATGTAAGTAATGGCGGTGTGGATATGTTGCCTGGAGAACGACTTCTCGACCTTGAGTATGCGGATGATATTGTCTTACTGTGCGATAATGCCCAAGGCATGCAATCAGCACTTAATCAGTTGGCAATCAGTGTCCACAGGTACGGTATGTGCTTTGCACCCTCCAAGTGCAAGGTACTCCTACAAGACTGGCAGGATTCTCATCCTGTACTCACCCTGAATGGTAAGCAGATTGAAGTAGTTGAGAAGTTCGTGTATCTAGGTAGCTATATAAGTGCCGGTGGTGGCGTGAGTGATGAGATTGATGCACGTATAATGAAAGCCAGAGCGGCTTATGCCAATCTGGGCCATCTTTGGCGCCTTCGTGATGTTAGTCTGGCTGTAAAAGGTCGGATCTACAACGCGTCGGTGAGAGCAGTTTTGCTCTATGCTTGTGAAACCTGGCCTCTCCGAGTTGAGGATGTTAGACGTCTCTCTGTGTTCGATCATCGTTGTCTGCAAAGGATTGCTGACATTCAGTGGCAACACCATGTTAGTAATGCAGAGGTTCGGCATCGTGTGTTCGGGCGCAGAGACGATAATTCAATTGGTGTCACCATCTTGAAACACCGACTTCGGTGGTTTGGACATGTCTTACGAATGTCGTCCCAGAGACTTCCACGTCGTGCATTATTTGCCGACTCTGGGACTGGTTGGAGAAAGCGGAGAGGAGGTCAGTGTATGACATGGTGTCGTGGCATGAAAGAGAGCTGCAAAGGGCTAGCTTCTGTTGGTCCTTCACGACTCCCTGGCTGGGGTCCGAGAGATGGTGCAACACAGTGGCTAGAGACATTATCAGATATGGCTCAGAATAGAAGCCAGTGGCGAGCCTGCTGTAACCTTCTTCTACTTTCTTCATAAAGAGTGGCTATAACTTTCCTAAATGAGAGAGCTCTTGTGGTTGTACATTCAGTTCCCGCCATTTTTTTCCTTTTCTTTTTTTCCTTCCTTTATATATACGCATCTTCTTCCTTCTCCCATTCTCATTATTTTGTGTGGCGCATATGTATCCGGTGCCCTTTGTACCAATATATATGTGATTAGATAAATAAATAAATTCTTAGGAAAGCAGCATCACTATAGATCCTTACTGTCTGAGGGAAATACCTTACTGAGGTCACACTCGTGTACAGTAAGTATAACGAATTTGCCCTCGGAACTTAAGTCGTTGCTTTTAGTCTTCCCGTTCTAAACCGACCTGCTTGGCATGCAAGGACTATAGGGAACCAGTGTCCCGGCCAATATAGCTCGATTGTGTTATCATAACAAGGAAGCCCAACCACTACATCAAGGCAGCAGCTACGGTTAGAGCATTAACTGAAAGCATTATATTATACATATACACAAAATACCATTTTTACTTATGTATATTTTTAATTTAAAAGTGAGAAATATGAAACTTCAATGATCATTTTTAGGATCTCTTGCAAATAGGTATGATAAGCAAAAGAGTTGAAATAATAATGGTGTAGTGTGATCTACTTATATCCATATAAGTAGTATATGGCGATGGTCAGACATAGAGTATATTTTCGCGGAAGACCGATAAGGAAAGAACTGAAATCAAGCGCAATTGGTAGGGAAATATATAAACAATGAAATTAGAGAAGATGAACTGATATTTACAGAAGGAACAGTGAAGATTGAGACAATTGGTTGTTATTTTGCAAATTAAATGTTTGCTGTATGGTTATCAGAATTCAGTGAGATAGTCTGTAATTTGTGCTTAAATACATCCGATTGTCCCCCACACGTGTTCTTGTTCACTACAATGGTAGCGCCAATGACGACATGAACAGAAGCTCAATTTTGTGAAGAAAAACATGGAACCGAGAAATCAAAAGCATAAAATAATACTGGGATTCAAACTATACGCCATATGTTATTTGAATGTTGATCGAATTGCAAAATAAGATTAAAGCATAGGGATGAGGCAATCAAATGTAGCTTAATTACTTTTGTATAATGCTCATAACCTACCAAATTAAAACGAAAAGTGTTTTTTTGTCAACAAAGTAAAAATAACATTGTTAAACGTATCAAGTATTCAATTCTTTCTATGTAAACTGCATGTAACACAAAAAATCAATTCTAGACCTGAACCCTGATGACCAGGAACAATATAAAGACTCCTAAAATATTCTTTGTATCCTTACAAAGTTTCAAGACGATAAATGTTTTATAAATATATGAATAAATCCATAAGTTAATGTTTTTTTTGGATTTACATAAGGCGAAAACCTGTTGACCTCAATATACTAATTATGTGAAATTTTATAATATTGATGAAAAACGGGTAGAAAATTGTCTTGCTTACTTCAAGAATAATTAAAACTCTTGTTCCCTACACTATAACTCATACTAAAAAGTATAAAAATGTTATTTATTGTAATATTGAAAAAAAGTTTTAATAACTTACCTATTCAATGATGAGTCGATCGAATTAGTCGATATACCACCGGTATTCTCAGAAGACACGGAGATAGATTTTGATGGCTAGAATGTGGGTAAAATTAAAGGTGAAGGAGTTTATATAACTTAGAAAAGAAGACGGAACTTCCATGGTGAAATGAAAATAATGGTTTAGGGTTCAGTTTATTTACTAAACATTTAGATATATAACGGTTAAGTGTTCAGTAGGGAATAACCTTAAGATAGATTTTCGAAGTTCTAGTCACAAAACAAGATAGATGAAGTCCAAATAAATATACTGTAGGACAGAAATCACAGGTAACACAAATTACGGAAGCATGAATCGGCGATCCTAAAGTAAGGTATTCATCTCGAGACTTCAAACTGCTTGATGCTCGAACACGTGACATTATGAATGTCCATTGACTACAGAGTATAGGACTGAGACAAAGCCGCACTATCTAGTGTTCTTTTATTTTAAAATTTAACATTAGTTGAAAACATTCTACGAAAGACAAAGAAATAGTAGACTAGACACACTCATGTTTTGATTAAAAAAAGAATTTGTATATCTTATGGGAAGTACATTTGTTGTGAAGAGAACAATGGAGAAGTGATAAATTATGAAAGCCACTTTTTGGGATATTAGTTCACTTAGGTTGTGATCTGTAATTGATAACATTTGACAACCGTCTTATTATTTTAATCATAAGCTTTTGTTAAATTTACGAACTACTGTCATATCTTCATCTATTTGATGTTTACGGTAATTTGAACATTAGTTTTGTATTCTATTTTCGTGACCTCGGAGTCCTATTTTCAGACGTTGTGTTTCGGTTAAATGATTTATGTGTTTGTTCGTGTACCCTTTGGAGTTAGTGTTGGGATGATCCAGAAAATTTCACGCAATAAACATAACAAGCTCAGGAAACACTAAGAAGCATTTTATCCAATCAGCGTTTTATTAAAAAAAATTTTTTAGAAACATCACGAAAATGAAGTTACACGTAGAGTTTCTGATTGGTTGATTACTACACTGCTACTATGTTTGGTACCATTCCAGAATTTTCAGGAAAACCCAAGGACTTCCAAATTACTATAAAAAGCCTATATTTTATGTACATGAAGGAACCTTTGGAGTAAAGTGCTTCTCGCATATTTTGCGCCTTTTCTCTCGTGTTCAAGTCGCTGTGTAGATTCAGCCTGGTGGTTACGAGACTAGCTTGGGATCCGAGTATAGCGTTCAATTAGCAAGACTTATCGGTTACATATATTTTGAAAATCAAAGGTTTTCCACAGATCCCTTTTCTACTTTCTAGTCAACCAATCAGTGACCGTGTAGTAGGTCAGCGAATAGGATAGTTTTCTGCCCTCACGGTCAAGTAGTCAGAACTCTAGCTCACGTGTTCGCAGTCTAACGATGGTAAAAAAAACAGGGAAGAGTATCAAGTTCATTATCTAGTTCCAAAATAAATCTTCAAATATGTCTGACTACAGCGCCAGCAGTTAGACCAAGTTCATGACAACGATGAACATGCTAAATAGTAAAATAAAAAAGACGTCTAAACCGTTATGAATCAGAAGAACAATTTAAAGCCTGATAGTTAAATTTGTAAGTATCATTACCAAGTTTTGATTTGATAATTTTGAATAAATTGAGCAATGTGTATATTGTTATAAATAAATTAATATATTTGTAATATCCCAATGAGTAGAAAAATGAGATTTTCCGACGTTTCGTGACTTAGTGTAAGCCACTTCTTCAGAGAATAAATAACCAAATTTAACATTAATCCAAGTTTAAATAGTACAACGGAACAATCCAAGAATATTAGGTGATCAATCAAAAAACGGGTCTGAATAGATCAATGTCATGTCATTTCATTTCGTTCAAAGTGATTCATAAGGGATATGTATGTAATTTTGTGTGTATGTATGCATTGTTAATGACGAAAAATGTGTGACCTTTGTAATGACAAAGGATAGAGTTTAATTTGTAATGTAATGGTGTGAGATTGTAAATAATATTAGACTGGTTGACTAGGATAGATAGTCCAAGTGGGATGTATGGTAAGGCCTTCTTTTCTATTGAGGGCAGTGGGATTAAGCATTATATGGAAAGCTTCCGCTACTCTTCTTTCTTTGTGATTGGAAAAACCTTTCTGTAGTATTTTGATGTTTTTGAAATCAATTTGATGATTATTGAAAATGGCATGAACCGCTAATGCCGATTTAATTTGAAGTCTATCTAGTTCTACAGGATTATTAGGAGGTTTCTTTGTGTACCTAATATGTTCTTTGGTGCGAATCATGATTTCGCGAGATGACTCTCCAATATAGAAGGCATCACAGTCGACACAACCTAATTTGTAGACGCAGTTCTGTGTAGACATGAATGGTATCTTTTCTTTTAATCGAACTAAAGTATTTCGAAGAGTGTTCGTTGTTTTGTAATATACTTTAATTCTGTGTTGTTTTAAGATTCTTTGGAGTTCTTCAGTTGTGCCATGACGGTATGGTAAAACTGCAATACCAATCCATGGCATTTCATTCGAATTATTGTTATTATTACGTGCTGAATTGTCTTGTTTTAATATGCTTCTGATAATCTTCATCGGAAAATTATTAAATTGTAAGATGCTAATTATATTCTTTTGTTCTTTTAGTTTGTCCTCTTCTGAAGTGATGATTTTATTGGCTCTTCTAAAAAGATTTAAGGCTAACGAAATTTTAGCACTGAATAAAATCTAATCCGAATGATCTAAGAATTGTTCATAATTTGTCTGACGGAAACTTAACAAATCATGAAGTCACCCTACAGGAGAAAGGATTAAATTTCAATTTACATAGAAAACCATTCCGTACTTTTGAAGTTGCTCCAATTATAGAGCCAATAATCGCACAACTACCAGAAAAAGAATCGCATTTATTACGTCAAAAGACGTCCCACATCTTGACCAAACAAAAACGCCTCACACCAAACATCTCAAAAGAAGAATACAAGGCCCTGCTTTCGCTTAAAAAGGACAAAACAATCATAATCACAAAAGCAGACAAAGGCAACACAACAGTAGTCATGAATAGAACAGACTACATTAATAAAGCTATTGAACATCTTGCAACAGGACCATATGAAAGGATCAATCCATTAAATTCTCAAACGATTAAAAATAAAGTCAAATCAGATACAAGTGAACTTTTGAAAGAGCTAAAACCAGTCATTAGGGCTTCGCTTTGGTTTTCTTTGTATCCCAAATCATGTAATACTTCACGATTTTATGGTTTACCGAAAATTCATAAACCAAATATTCCTCTAAGACCGATAGTAGACTTTACCAACACACCGATTTATGCTTTATCTAAATATCTAAGCAGCATATTAAAGCCACTACAGTTCGACATACATAATATGATTAAAGATACATATGACTTTAAATCAAAACTATCAGAATTAATCATCGAGAAGAATGAAGTCATGGTAAGCTTTGATGTCGTATCTTTATATACTAGTATTCCGATTGATAACTGCTTAGAATTTATTAGTGGCTTACTAGAAAATGACACTACTTTGTCGGACAGATGTCCGTTAAGCATTAGTTTAATCATGAGATCGTTAAAACTTTGCTTAAATTCAACTCCACTCACCTTCAACGGAACGCTATACAGACAAACAAATGGTGTAGCGATGGGTTCCCCTGTGTCCCCGATTGTTGCCAACCTTTTTATGACACACATGGAATCAAAGATTTTCACTAACCACATTAAACCACGAATTTGGCTTACATATGTAGATGACACATTTGTAGTGATAAAAAAGACGCATCTAAGATCATTTTCAAAACAGATAAATACACTTTCATCTCATATCAAATTCACGAATGAAAATGAAAATGAACGTGGTAAGCTTCCGTTCCTAGATTGTTTAGTGAAAAGAAATATAAACGGAGTTCTAAATGTATCCATCTACCGAAAGCCTACACACTCGAATCGTTACATCGACTTCCATTCAGCACATCCTTTCAGTGCTAAAAATTTCGTTAGCCTTAAATCTTTTTAGAAGAGCCAATAAAATCATCACTTCAGAAGAGGACAAACTAAAAGAACAAAAGAATATAATTAGCATCTTACAATTTAATAATTTTCCGATGAAGATTATCAGAAGCATATTAAAACAAGACAATTCAGCACGTAATAATAACAATAATTCGAATGAAATGCCATGGATTGGTATTGCAGTTTTACCATACCGTCATGGCACAACTGAAGAACTCCAAAGAATCTTAAAACAACACAGAATTAAAGTATATTACAAAACAACGAACACTCTTCGAAATACTTTAGTTCGATTAAAAGAAAAGATACCATTCATGTCTACACAGAACTGCGTCTACAAATTAGGTTGTGTCGACTGTGATGCCTTCTATATTGGAGAGTCATCTCGCGAAATCATGATTCGCACCAAAGAACATATTAGGTACACAAAGAAACCTCCTAATAATCCTGTAGAACTAGATAGACTTCAAATTAAATCGGCATTAGCGGTTCATGCCATTTTCAATAATCATCAAATTGATTTCAAAAACATCAAAATACTACAGAAAGGTTTTTCCAATCACAAAGAAAGAAGAGTAGCGGAAGCTTTCCATATAATGCTTAATCCCACTGCCCTCAATAGAAAAGAAGGCCTTACCATACATCCCACTTGGACTATCTATCCTAGTCAACCAGTCTAATATTATTTACAATCTCACACCATTACATTACAAATTAAACTCTATCCTTTGTCATTACAAAGGTCACACATTTTTCGTCATTAACAATGCATACATACACACAAAATTACATACATATCCCTTATGAATCACTTTGAACGAAATGAAATGACATGACATTGATCTATTCAGACCCGTTTTTTGATTGATCACCTAATATTCTTGGATTGTTCCGTTGTACTATTTAAACTTGGATTAATGTTAAATTTGGTTATTTATTCTCTGAAGAAGTGGCTTACACTAAGTCACGAAACGTCGGAAAATCTCATTTTTCTACTCATTGGGATATTACAAATATATTAATTTACTGATAGTTAGATGTTCATCGGTTCCAGTTATCAGTCGTAACATCAGTCTATAGAATTACAGCATATTATCTTAAAATAAAAGAGACAAATTAATTACTTCTAAATGATGGTCTTTTTTAGGCGAACCACATTCTTCAGCAGCATCGATTAATTGTCGTCTAGCTTGTATACGACGTTGAATTTCAGCTAGCATAGAAGATTTTTGATCAATGGAATCTTTTCTTAATTGTTGTGTAGAATCTGTACGTTTTATTGGGTTGTTTTTGTTATTGTCTAGTTGATTATTTGATGATAGTGTCGGTGGTGTTGGGGGTGGTGGTGGCGGCGGTGGTGGGGATTTTGTAGTTGAAATTATCTGATACAGAGAGAAAATTATCTTGAAATATGGAAATCAATAATAATGGTTTGTTTAAACTGTAATGGCAATCAAACTAAAAACGTGATACCAGTTCATGGAACCATTGATTGAGCCACGTAGGATAGATATAGACTATTAAAGTTGTGGTCGGCGTGATAATTGTAGTCAGCGAGTGAAAATCTTAGGTGACATGATTCAGAATCAACCATAATGAAGCGGATGGGTCAACTCTTTATATTACCCTAGACCTTGAGCTCCAGTATTTCTTTACATATGTTTTCTAATTCTATATCTTTTGCAAAGGTTTAATTTTCTCATCATTATCATTGATATCACATTATTTTGACCGCTTTTAGTATTTATATTTTCAAATTCATCTCACCAAAATGATATGGTATAAAAATATGGGTTGACATACGCGTGTGCCAAACTCAATTTATTTATTTAAACACATAAATATTGGCACAAGGAAGCACCAAATACATATGCGCCGCGTCGATTTGTGTGTAGACTGTGATACTGCTCAGATGCCCAAACTGAAGCAGGTGGTTTTTATTAGGGGGCCACACCCCAAGACTTCTACCTAAAGTCTATTTATTTATTTAATCACATATATATTGGTACAAAGGGCACCGGATACATATGCGTCACACTTCGACCTAAAGGTCTGATCCACAAGGCAGTAGAGCATCGTGAGGAGATGCAGTCTCATGGTAGCCGGTGACCAACGATTGATTCATACGCCATTTGTTCCCTCAGGATGCTGGAGCCCGTGTGCACCATTGGTTTGCAATCAGGGTTTTCCAACTCCCATAGGTGAACTTTCCACGTCCACCAATCCGGTTAAAGCGTCGGACATTCTCTTTTCGTCCTCTCAATTCCGTAAACAACACCCTGGTGCGAGAAGACAGTGAGTAGGACTTCCTTGGCAGAGGCTGTATACTCTCGGCCACACCAGGGCATTTGGGGGCCAAACTCTAAGTTGATTAAAAATTAACGGATTGTAAACTGTAATCCATACCTAAAGTGTGTATGTGTGTGTTTTCAAATGTGAGTTACATTGTGTAGTACAATTTAATGCATCTCTTTACCCACCCCATACAATCAATGTAAATATATTTATCAATGAACTTTGGGTGACATTAAATCTACAACCATCAACACAATGATATTAACAGGCATCAAGACTGAGATAATTCTAACACTATAAAACAAACGACAATAATCATTCGCTAAATAGGAATTAAATATATACAGAAGATAACCTGACGTTACAAAACATAAATTTTAAGCACACATACGTAAGTATACTTAATTTATCAGTTAAAATACAGTAATGGAGACGAATTAATTAGAATCAAGAAAGCGAATTTTCAGCTTTTCAACAAAATTCAAATAATATCCATAACAATAAGAAATAATATCTCTGTATATTGCTCAAAACGTTCAAAATTATAATGAAAAATTACTACTAACCACCATAGAGTAAAAATGATTGTGTCAAATGTATCAAGTGTCCTATTCTATTTCTGTTCACTGTATATAACAGGCGAATTAATACTATCTCTATATCTTCTCCTTAAATGCTTAATCCTGATCCATAATCCTAACCAAATGGTAATATAACTTACAATCAAAATAGTTAGATAACACCTCTAGGATATTTGAAGTAAATACACTCATCCATTCAGATGCAGAGAATTGCCATATTTTAGCTGATATCACTTTGTGGTAAAAACCTTAATATTTACTCTTAACACATAACCCTGACCAAGAAAAAATTATTCGGGTCTTTTTTAGGGGTTAGGTAAAACATATAATCAATATTCACAAGGAAGACTTTTTTATATGATTACTTCTCAATATACAGACAGATTAAACTGTAAATGCACTAAATATGCATAATCTGTCTACACGTTGTGACATGATTGTTTTCTTTTTCACTAACTATCCATTTATAAAAGATGGTTTTTCCTTGACCAAGAACTGACGAAAAGTTCGTCGCGTTTGATATCATTCTCGTTCCTATACTATACTACTATTCAATAGGGATATGAATTGTTTACTAGCTTCAGTGGTTTCAGTATCAAAAGTATGCACTCATAAAAAAATTATGATTGAATACATTAAATTAATCAGTTTGTTTATATATTTTAATTGATAATAGTTACCGGATTATTGGAAGAAGTTGAATTAATACTTGGTCTTATTGAATCATTACATCGATTTTCTTTATTCCGTTTACGTGCGGCAATAGCTTCTTGTAGCATAGCGGCTAATCCAGACGATTCTGACTGCTTAGCTAACTCTTCATCATTATTTTGATTATTATTATTATTAACCGGTACTAATGTTGTTAACACTGAAGATGAATTTGAATTATTTGTGCTAACAGCAACATTTGAATGATCAACAGTTTCACGAGAAACTATCAGGAAAAGAAAAAACAAAAGAAAACATGAAACTTTATTTTCTACAGGTAAAAGCAAAAATTACGAGTTAAGTTTATAAAAAACGACAATGTTAAATAATAAGTATCATTTCCATATAGATTCTACACAGTGTTATACTGTCAAGTTGGTATTTTAAATATTTTGGAAATTCTTATTATGATTATTGAGAAGTATAATGAGTGAATAATTAGTATTGTAGTGTGGTCTACTTATATCCATATAAGTAGTATATGGCGATGGTCAGACATAGAGTGTATTTTCGTAGAAGACCAATAAGGAAAGAACTGAAATCAAGCGCAATTGGTAGGGAAATATATAAACAATGAAATTAAAGATGATGGATTGATATTTACAGAAAGAACAGTGAAGATTGAGACAATTGGTTGTTATTTTGCAAATTAAATGTTTGCTGTATGGTTATCAGAATTTAGTGAGATAGTCTGTAATTTGTGTCTAAATACATTCGATTGTCCCCAATTAGTGTTTTGTTCATTACAATTGGTGTCGCTGCCTACCAGGAGGAGGAAGGGTGCTGTTCTGCGGACGTAAATTTCTAGATGTTTGGAATGAGTAACACTTGATTGACAATGTTCCATAAGTTCATGGAAGTTCTAATTCATTTTTGTATTGGTTGCTTGAATCTTATCATTGATTTTTATGACTGCCATTGATCAGTCTCGTATTAGCGAATGTGGATCCTGTGAGGATTACTTCGATAATCCACCGTTAGCCACCATCCATCTCTGCTTATAATGCTTATGATTAAAGGCAATATCAAGGTAATCAGCACAGAATGTACGTATGACAATAAGAGACTGATTAATTTCAGTCCCAAAAACCTAATGGAAGATTCAAAAGACTAATACAAAATTCAATATGATAACTTCAAATGTGGACGTTTTCAGTTCGTCTTGTTATGTGTTGTTGCATTATTAATAATCCGAAATATATTCAATTACTAAAAATTCATATAAAGTAGAACTTTACAGAAAACTAAATAAGTTACACAATGGTCGTCTATGTACAGGATGTTTGTTTACTGGATTACTGACAACATAGAAATCTACGCAAACTGTGAACATCGGGCATCGACTATGTACAGTAAAACTGTCCATTCAGTTTCGATTTCCTTAATTTGGACAGTAGTATACATCATGAATGCTCTTTCTTTATTTCTACAGATTAATTTTATAATTTGTTCGATTTATTAGCTTTCTATAACGACTCTGTTTTTAAAGCACTATTTATATTCTTTAGCCTATTACATCATTTTATTTCTATACTGATTAAAAGAGTCTAGTATGCACAGAGTACTTATGAAACACAAATACTGAAGAAGAAGAATAAGCACGTTTCTTCACTTGATTATTTACTGAACTGAATAAATAAATAAATAAACGATCTCTATTATTTAACACTGACCTTGAGAATTCAAACCTGACCAGTTACTGCTGATAGACTCTCCAGTTAAAAGTGGATTCCTCAAATTTTGACTACTAAGACGATGGATTGTGCCCATATAATTACCATTAATTGGACCATTACCAACACTGCTTCCACTACTACTAGTACTTGCATAACTAGCTAAACTTCCTGAACCTGCATATCCATAACCATAACCGTAGCCAGCAGACGACGAAGAGGCAGATGAAGGGGTTGTAATTGTTCCAGGACCTGTAGCATAACCTAAACTGATTGATGAAGTAGAAGATAGTTGACGACGATGTGTTTCAAATGCACCAGAATCTTTATTACCATTACAACTATTATTATTAGTCATAGTAGTAGCAGTTATCAATTTATTTATTTGATTAGATTGATTAACATGATCATGATATTCATAATTTGCCAATTCATTAGGTTCCGGTTGCTTTCTGAAATAAACAAGAAAAAATCCGGTTTAGCATATTCGAAGATGAACAGTAAAGCATTAAAAGTCGATACAATAAAGAGAATAAAACTAGCCATGGCTTGCTTTAATCAGAGGTGGATGATTTCAAGAATGAATTCAAGACGCAAGTTTGGTCCTATTTGGGACTTGTCAGCTGGATGTACTTTTAGTCCAGAGTTGATCTTCATTCTTTGACTACGGGTAGAATAAGAAGCATTTTCCTCATACTAAGGTGAAATAGCTATTTACTGTTCACTAGTTCATCATAGTAAAATGAATGATATCAATCTGTAATCGTGGAGAGAGAACCATTTACAAATAAAACTAGTCGTCGAAACTAAGAAAATCCTACTATGTACACGATTGAACACAATGGAACAAAAGCGAACGTATACACACATTATGCATAATCGGTTATAAAAAACCAATCAGATAAAAGTCCGAAAAACATGGAATCAGTTATAATTAAACTAGATCCTGTAATAAACATGTCCTAACCGAAGTTTTTACATCAGATCAATACGAAATGAAATCAATAAGATGTATTGAAAATAAGTCTAAATAATAGTAGTACCAATGTTAGTGAGAAAGATTAAACATTGAAGAATATAATTTGAAGTGAAGTTACAGATGACAGAATACGGAGACTGACAAAATAGGGGGGAGATAGCGTGAATGCAAATGATTCTAAGCCGTGTTCTCCGGCACTTCAGCACACAAACCATACAAATCCAAACCAGGTCCTCTGCAATTATCAATATAGCTCAGTCTAGTATTTAATGCTTTCATAAACTTATGCAGTGTTGTTTTAATCTTAGTTTTTATCTATTCTCCTCCTACTAGTTTGCATTGTTTCTTATGAATTTAATTGATACAACAACCTTGAAGATCAGATCAGAACTGAAGTGGTAAAACAAAAAGGTGATAATAATCTGGTTGGGGTAGAATTTTTACTGGATATTAAGATAAGAATAAGCTGATAATGCCTGTGATTATATGATAACAGTCTATGGCGCAGTAATCAAATGAAGTTCAAAACTGTGATTATGACTTGACAATGTGAAATCATCTTTAAATGAACAAAGTTTTCACAAACTAAAATCCATTCATTAATGACCAACTTTGAGATGGATTTCTTAGTTTTAAAGATAATTTATGATCTATGATCGTGAGACACTTATCTAGGCAATGAAATCAGATAATGATCACTTCACAGTACGAACTGAATAAAACTTATGGTTGAAATCCCATTGAATTCCAGTTCAATTGTCTAAATATGCCTTGTTCACTAAAGGGCCTGATGGTGGAACATTGATCTCGTATATAAACAGTCTTATACTAGTGCAGATTATCATCCAGTGCTCTTTAATTGATAATCTAACCTTCCAGTTAATTCCAGTCCATGAAAGGATTTCTCTTTAAAACTGTGGTAAATAGAAATAAAATACAAATATGCAATGGATCTGTTTGTTATGGGCTTTTTACTGATAATTCCTTCTGATATAATATTCCAGAAAATTGTTGATTTCACTATTTAGAAAAAAGCATTATACATAAAATATATAGAATAGAAATGTATATTTTCTTTTAATCGAGTATGAACATGTATTATATTCAGTGAAGAAAAATTACTGTACATTTTTAATAGACAATTCGTTAGCAATCAATACAGAATTGTTTACTCATATTAATGTAATTAAGGTAGTAGGTATATATAACGTATAACTAAACGAATTAAGTAGGTATAAGGACAATGTAAACATTGGACACATTAACAACATAAATCTCAATATAATAAATAATCCAATTCAGTAGTCCATGTACAGATTTATAAACCATAGATATTCAGTTACATTTTGTCAATTGAGAGCTGCTACTGTATCAATCTATTTGTTCCAATCGACATACAGTATGTGAATATGTAACTTTGATAGAATAAAATTCCAAGTGTTTCAACTATTAGGTGATCGCTTTATATAAAATAAATATGGAAAGTAAGATCGTGAAAGGATTATCTTACAAGCTTTACGGTAAGAAAATCTTATCCTTTTCGTCTACAAAAAAAACTCTTAGCAGATTATAACATTAAACATACCCTGTTTCAGTTTACATTATTAAAAAAAAACTTCTACAAGTCAACGGAAGTCACACTTTACCTAACACGAAATATTTCTCTAGAACTTTAAGTATAGACGATTTTCCGAAAATTTTATCATTACTAATCATTTAGATAGTGAATCCGTGATCAGAAAATATATCGATTATTTATTTATCTATTTTAACACATAAATAATGGTACAAGGAAGCACCAGATAAATATGCACCGCACAAATCTCATTCGATTTGTGTGAGGGCTGTGATACTGTCCGGGTGCCCAGACCGAAGCAGGTGGTTTTCTTAGGGGGCCACACCCGGAGCCTTTGACCTGAATGTCTGATCCACAAGGCAGTGGAGAATCGTAAGGAGATGCAGTCTCATGGTAGCCGGTGACCAACGATTGATTCATAAGCCATTTGTTCCCTCAGAATACTGGAGTCGGCCCATGTGCACCACTGGTTTGGAATCGGGGTTTTTCAACTCCCCTAGGTGGACGTCGTTTAGAAGGACGATGAAAGCTCTACAATCCAGCATCCAAACATTTCGTCAATTATGCAGGCTACAACATTGACTACCAAGAATCAAGAAAGCTGAGAGTGCTTGTGTGTGTGCAGTACATTGAGATGTCAATGTATTGTGTGTATGAGAGGGTATAGATAACACAACTGACAGTAAATAGTTGATTTTCTGAGGGATTTAATGAGATTTCATGACAAGCTGAAAGAATATAGGAATAAAGAAAAAAAAGGCAAACTAACCCTATTAGATGTTAACTATTTTTTCACATATACAGAGATTTGTATAATGTCATGCTCAATCATTAATGGTACATATAAAGACAAAAACGTACACAATTATATTCTCTAATCTATACAGAATTAAAATACTTAAATAATTGGTAAAACCCAGGACAGAGTTCAATGTAGAATGCTTGTGGACAGCCTGTGCTCCTCCACGAGGGGTAACAGACAAATTGGATTGGAATTAATTAAAGATAACAAGAAAAGTCACAAAATGTCCAATGATTTTTCACTTTTTTCCACATATCAATATGAATATTATCGAAGTCAACTAATGTCATTCAATGGTAAACCACTAGGTGATGATGGATTCACATATATATCATTTCACTTAAGGATAGAATAAAAGTGACATAATTTGAATAAATAAATTATCCAGTTTATAAAAGAGATTAATATTAGCTCTAATTAGCGTATTATATACAATACATTTGCATAGATTTCTCAATATACAATAACTTAGTGGTAATTTGGAATGACTGTAAAAGTATAATTATAGTTTGTAATAAACTATCATGTGACAGCCTTAAAATATTGGTAAATATAAAAATATTGTGAGTAATAGATGTATTGGAAGCATTATCTCCATATAAAGACAATCGAACATGATGTGAATAAGCACTATGTGAAATAACTGGACTATTTCTCAGACGCATTGAGTTACTTATCTATCCGAAAAGGCGATGTTTGTTACAACAGATTTAGAAGAGAATAACATAGAAGTGGCATAATGATTGAAGCAATCAACTTTAAACAATTAGATTCTAGATTTTAACCCTGTTTCAGTTACTTAAATTTTGACAACGGAGTAGGATAGAGCCCTGAGAATAACGGGTTTGTACCAAAATTAAACCACAACACAATGAACGGTGTGTTTTTAGTGCGCTAGTGAACAAATCAAAATCCTTGAAGATTTTTGTGTAAACTCTACATAAACTCTGATGTGTTCACTACTGTATCTTTGCTATTCATGATGTTAAAAACACATGCGCTCTCTCTCAAAGTTTGCTCTGATTGAGAATGAGGGAAGTATATCCTAACACAAAGGAAAACTATAGAGAATTCCATAATGTAGCAAAAATATGACATTGAAGAATGCTTATTATTATTATTAGAATAAGAAAACATAGCACGAAACGAATTACCAAAATCACAAAAGTGTAAGAGTAAAAACCACAATTACTGGTGAAAGAGTATATCATAGATAGGAGTCAATCAGAATCGACAAAGCGACTTTTCAGCTTTTCAACAAAATTCAAATATGACCCATAACAATAAGAAACAATATCTCTGTATACTTCTCAGAACGTTCAAAATCATAACGAAAAATTACTACTAACCACCATAAAGTAAAAAAGATTGTGTTAAACGTATCATGTGTTCTATTCTATTTCTGTACATTGTATATACCTATATCTTACCTCTAAATCCTTAATCCTGGTCCATAATCTTAAGCTAGTGGTAATATAACTTACAATCGAAATATTTAGATAACACCTCTTGGATATTTGAAGTAAATACATTCATCTATTGGGATACAGAGAATTTCCGCTTTATAAAAGATGATGTATTAGGAGCTGTAACTTTAAAACTCTAATAATTACTCTGAATCTATAACCTTGATCAAAAACAATGCAGGTACTCCGAAGAATTTATTTTGGTTCTTACAAAGGTTCAAGGACTCGGATTAGATATCGTTGTTTTTCGGTTGAAAGGCAAAGTACCATGTAGAGGACAATAAAAGATACACTGATTCTATGAAATTTATCTACACATTCTGTAATATTGTTGTTTTCTTTCCCATACACCGTCCATTTAAAGACAGTTTTTCTGATTAGGTAAAGAAATGACCTTAAGTTCGTCGTGTCTGATTTATTTTCGTTTCTACGCTTTACTCTTGCCCAACTACCTACCTCAAAGTCAGTCAGATACAACGTAGGACTAGGCACATGTATGCATCGGTCCAAGATGTAACACCTCCTTAGCACAATAAGATATATAAAAATATTGTGTATAAGGATATAGAACAGAAATAAATAATTAGTTGATAGAAAGAAAGATATAAAGTAATTTTAATCCCACACTTTGAGGGAAGACAAATAATGTATACACCTACGCCATTGTGATAGATTCTGAGCCATGTCACCCAGAGTCTCCAACCATTGGTTACAATAGTCACGCGGACCCCAACCAAGTAGTCTGCATCTACCAACATGGCTCAGACTAGAAGTTAGTGACTTCAAACACTGATGCCACGTTTTGGTTTAACCGACCCTAACTTTCTTCCATAAGTCTCCAACACTAGTCAGCATTGCGCGTCGTGGTAATCAGTGTTCAGGCATTTGTAACACATGGCCCAACCATCTCAGTCGATATAGATTCATAACCTCATCACCTGATTTACCACCATTTCCTATCACTCCGTGTCTAAGCTTACTATTACTTACCGGGTGATACCATCAGATGTGAGCAATATTTCTAATACATCTGTGGTCAAATATTAGTAACTTACGAGTATCTTCTACCCTTAATGGAGACATTTAGCAGCTGCAAAGTAAGACAGAGCGAACTGCTGCACAGTATACTCGTCGCTTAATTGATAGACAGATATCTCGTTTTCACCATAGGTGACGTAAGTTGGCAAAAGCCAAACGAGCTTTTTGAATACGTGCTGAGATTTTGTCAAACACTAACCCATTAAGGCTGATAAGACTTTCAAGATAAGTGAAGTTGTCGACACGTTCGACTACTTCACTCTCTATCCTTAGTTCAGGTGTTGACACAGGTCAGTCTTGAAGCAACAATTTGCATTTAGAGGGGGGGAAACGCATTCGAAACATCTTGGGATTGTTGCTCAGTGCTATCAAAAGACTGAATTTCATCAGTGTTTTCAACAAACATGACTATGCTATCTGCATATAGGTGGATTTACTGGTAGAAGATCAGTTATTGAATATTTAGACGACGAGAACGTTATATCCAGAAGTAGGTCTATAATGAAATTAAACAGAGTTGAAGATAGTGGACAGCCTTGCCAAACACCACTTGAGGTTGCAAAATCAGATGACAGTTCGCCATAAGCGACTAAAAGTGTACGAGTAAAGAGCATCAAAACTCAATGTAAACATTAACTAATGTTTTAAACTTACGGTAGAGTAGTTTTATTTTCTATTTGTCCAACTGCATCAATTCCATCAGTGCCAACATTTATTGGATTAATAACTATGTTACAACCTTTTGGTGTGGCAGCATGATTATTTGATGAATCTAAAGTATTTGAAATAAACGGTTGTGCATATTCACGTGACTGTGAATTGACGTTTATGTTTTCACTATCAAATGCATTTTTGGAATCCTAGACAAGTTATTTATTGAAAAAAATCACTAATATAGGATCATAAAAATAAATCAGTTATGAATAGTTAAATCAAGATTAAAATTATTTCTAGAGGATTGGTTAAAATGATACGAAGAGGTCATGTATCCGTTTCTCAATGTGTGTATGTAATAAAGCAATTGCGAGAATGTATTCATTCATTTTGTGGGTGAGTGCTGCATGTGAGTTTTACTTTAGGGATTTCAATTTTATTGGTCTTTTTCATCCAGGAAGTTAAGATGGGCTTTAGTTGCGTATTCATGGGAGATGTATACGGACAGCTTCAAATGATGGAAATTAAGTCTCTAGTGAAAATTGTGTTCATGTATGCAATGCTGATCCCCAAAATGAACAAAAGCGTGTCTGAAAATGCTATGTATTGAACTTTCATGGAACGTTGGATGAAAGATGGTTATCGTTATACAAATGATACTGATAGATGACAAGAGTAGAGGCATATCAAGTGCAGGGGCTCACATGTCAACTTAAGGTCAGAAGTTAAGAACAAGGCACGGTGTTGAAGGAATTTAGCCAAACACCTACTTAATGTCACAGCCTACATATTTTATTTCGGTTCAAAAAATAATGGCATATGAATGCTTAAGATTTATGTATGTTATAATTCGATTCGGTAATTAAACCTGACTGCTCATTCCGTTCTTGTCTCGTACATACTGGATTAGATTTACCGTATGAGTTGTATTTCCTAATTAAATTACACGGCAGAACCTAACAAATACATTACGTCTAAGAGAATCAGAAATGACAATTTCAAAATACTTTGATATAATCAAGAATGACTTTCAAGTCAAGTCACGGGATTGTAAAACTTTTATGCAAACAAAATGAAATCGATTACACAAATGTCCAAAAAAGAAGAGTATAAAGGAGATATGTAACAGATAATTTATTCAAGCATTTCGATAGTAGGTGACCATCGCAATTCATACCTATCTACATTCTTCAGGAGCGATGGCTAGGTGGTTAACGCTTCCGCCTTTCAACCTCCAAGTGACAAGTTCGAACCCTACCCGACCTACTTCGGTTTGGGTAACCAGGGTTAGTACTACTAGGTATCACAAGTAGAATATGACTGAAAACCAAGTACGCCAGTGTGTGAGTGGTAACGAGTTTACAATAATAATAATGATAGTGATAATAATAACAGCAATGATAACAATAAGAATAATAAATAGCACATGTTTTTCCAGTGAAACGCACGATAACATTGTAACTTCGGTATAGGGGTTAAGGATTCGCGCGAGACCGAGAGTCCTGAGATCGAGTCACGGATGTGGCATTGTGGATGCACGCTCGTGAAGAGCTTCGTACTAAGACGAAACGACTGTACAGTGCTTCCAGGTTTTTAATGGTAGTCTAACATTGACCGGTTCATGTCTCAATAAAAATCCAAATTCTTTTCAATTAATTCCTCATTAGGGCTTTACACTAATATAGATAGGTTTTACAACTCAAAATAAAATCAATATTAAATTAATGGTGCTTAGTAAGGTTAACAATGTTTTTTATAAAGCAGTAATCATTCAGAAGCTCAACAGATGTAGAAATTATAACACATCTAAAGATAAGATTAAGTAATCGGTTAATCATTAAACTCACTACGCAAGAATAAGAAATAAGTCATTTCAAAATCAAGTAACTGAATATAAATGTTCTATGTTATTTGTAAAGTTAAGAATATATAATTAGAAAATTAGGAATTAGGGAATCAGATTATTAAGATAGATCATGTAAAACGAAGTTACAAATCAAAATTGAGTAGAATTAAAAATTTTCTAAGAAATGTAGTAGCTAAGGTGAAAGTTATGGATAATTAAGTCTGGACAAACTTTCCCTGAACACAAAGATAAAGGTTGTTGATGTGTGTATTTATGGCTTTTGCCATATGTGAAAGACGAAGTCTGGAAATATGATGCAAGTTCGATGTCATTTTATAAACAGCTTTGGAAAGTAAATTTGTATTGATATGGTGATCGATATCTACTAAATGCACAAAAACAATACATTTTTTAATGGGTCTCTTCATTTTGACGTCAACTAGATTGGACGGTGTTATTGACCGTCTCACCACTTAGTGGCCCGATATTTGACTCTAATTGGATCGTGTGAATGTTATTGAAATACACATGTCCGCTATCCTCGTATATAATAATCGACTTAATCCCCGTTAGTGAATATCGGAATCAAATAAGCCAAATGCGAGAATGGATTTTGAATATGTATATTTCATGCACTCGTTGATTTGAACAGGCAATCAGGGAGACGAAACAACGAAGGAAGAGCAAAGCAGATTGGAGAAGCGAAGCAAAATGTTGCGCAGTGGAGGTGTGTGAGCCAACTCGATCTAACCAAGCGTTAATCGATATTTATAGCTGAACAAAATAAGTTACAGACATGTGATGAGTAAGATTGGAGATGAACACACATACGCCTGTATGAAAACAGTCAAGGTTGATAAGTAAATAATTAACGCGGTCAAAACGTGACTGAAGAAGAATGGATAAATTGGCTTGTTCAGAAGCTAGAATAAGTTATCTGGGCTTAACATAGCAACCGACACCACGGTTTTATTGTTCTCTTTTCTCTTCGAATCAAACAAAAGGTGATATTAAAAAATACAATGATATAGTTGCGTGGTTCTATGGTGTTTCTTATACACCGTATCACTAACTCGCAGGCTACATCACAGTTAACTGGAATTTTAGGGATAAAGTGCTCTTCAATGCTGTCAGTTATTTTAATTTAGGTTCTATTGTGGACGTATATTTTGTTAGGAACTTTAATGGGTACCCGTTTTTACTCAAGGGTTCCATTATACCACAAGAACAATAAAACGGACATCAACAAAGCACATTTTTGACTTTGATGTAGTGTGGACTTGTACGTGCACACTGTTAAGAAATATCAAAGCATGATGAGGTAACTGTCCAGAGTGTAATCTGAGTTCCCAGTAGTGTTTTAAAACAACACCTACTATTGGTTTATCGCTAAGTAGTGTATTATGTCTGTGTTTACTCTTTTAGTGGTGGTCGAATTCCATCAGTCAAATTACAATGTTGTCATCAGTCTAAGTGAATCGACATTGCGTGCAGTATGTTAAGAAACCCCACTAACTTGCTTATTATTTTAATAACAAAATTAAATTAAACTATGTTCACACAAGCTGTTGAAGTTTGGCCATCAACTATATGCAAATTTTGTAACCATTAATCTATAGTACGAAATATGAATAAAATCCCCCACAAAGAAGGAGAGAGAAACTGGAAAACCAGCCAGAAAGACAACAATTCCAACTCCTTATTTACTATTTTGTATTCTATGTTGATGATTATTTTGTTATTGTCAATAAAACCATGATAAGTTAGTATAGTTAATGGAATAGAAAACAAAAACTTTTTATTTTCATTGTCGTTCAGAACAACATCGCCAGGGTGTACTTTATGAAGTAATTAAATCAAACCAGATAAGTTAACAACATTAAAAGCATTCACCTGAGCTATAAATCTTCTCTAACGTTGATAACATTCAATGACAACTTCAATAAGTAAACTTCTCCAGCACTTTATCATACATATATAAAGATGACTATGACGAGGATGAGGATAAGATATAAAGGTTAGAGAAGTGATTAGGATAATGAGTGTTGATAGGAACGAAAAGAAAAACAGTGATCGATTTCTATGACGAAAAAGACGAGTGTGAACCTAAACCGTCGATTACAGTTTTATTTCTGAAATTAATTATACCGATAACAATAGCGGAGTCCTATAAGCTTTGAGTTCAAGATAATTTTCTGTACTTTTTGCTTCCCAGTTTCATCCATTCTTTTTAAATTATGTTCTCCTCTAGCTAGTTCACTACTATTCCCGATACCATTATTTCTTGTTTTTTTACATAAATGCCAGGTACGACAAAGATAATTGCCAGATTGTAGATTAATTACAACAGATAAGGGGCCAATAATAACTATAGTTGAGATCAAACAGATTTTCCATCATAAAGTGGTGGTCACACTTCCATACCGTAAAGACCCGATCGAGGTATATTGGTTGGAACACTTGTTTCTTCGGAAGACCGATAAAACTAAGAGCATATACTTGAGATTGGCGTACTGCTGACTGTACAGAGATGTCACTGACTTACAAAATGTTGTTCCTAAAAATAGTATACTCTACCTTGAACTCACGAAGTCCCGCCCGTAGCGAGCTCTGAAAAGTATGGAGCGAGTACATCAAAAACTGCTCACAAAACACTCATGTATGACCGGTCTCAAACATTTATTTCTTAGGCTCTTAACTCAAAACCCAAGTTTGAAAGTCCACTACCATTAATCCGATTTTGTTACCAGGTACCTGTAGAAAAGTATCGTTGAGCAGTACAGGCAGCCAGAGAGCAATAACCATCTTCTTACCATTAACACTACTTGAGATCACCCTGTTAACAATCAGTTTCCTTCTATTTCCAATATAAATCCTCATATTTTGTGAGAGGAGAAACAAAGGATTTTTACAAAAAAAAGTTATCGATATTATTTCAGTTCAAGGTAAGACACAATGAGATTTATTAATCAACCTCACAAAAATTTAAGAAACACATAACTGAATTATGCATTTTTGTTGTAAATGAGAATGCGTAAATCAGACAAATTTGTGATTATTTTAAAAGCAGCAATTAACAAACAATACAAAACACTACCCGTAGGTTACTTAAAAACTACTATTTAATCCTTAAAATTAAATTACAGTAAAACAAAACAAATATTAAGATAATTCACTTAAGTAAGGTAATATACAACATTTGAAAAAAGTTAGAAAAGAAATGAAATTATAACATTGAATAATAAAACACAGCATATGTTCAACTGTTAAGTGAATGGGTAAACCGAATACATATATATCACCTAATGATAATTAGCGAAACTGTGGCCCAATATAGTTAAAGTGTTCAACTTTCAGCTA